TGCGCAGCCCTTTCTGCCTGGTGAATCCTTTGCACACAGATTACCATGGCCGTGCGGCATCAGCCATCACGGTTCGGCCAACGACAACAACCACACACAACAATGCCGGTTGACGCTTGCCCTCGCCTCCCCCTCCTCTGCTCCGAGTCAACCGCCCGCTTGTAATCTCATGCATCCACTACAGGGCCTCGCCTACGCGCCGCCACACTCGCCGCCCGACTCGGAGAGAATTGACGGTGGATCAAGCAGGTGCTCTCGTAATTTTTTTTATCTTAGCCTCCGTCGGAAGCTCCCGTCTCCACCCTTCGCTACTCATTGGGGCTATTGACCGGTAAGTATTTCGCTGTTCCTTTCTCTTGTTTCATTTTTGTAGTTGACGCTCTATAGCCCTTCCTCTCGTGGAACCGCGCCCCATGGACCTCCGCTGTAGCAATATCTGGAATGCACCTGGGAGTCCGCTGCAGCACACTCGCGGCACTGCCACAGCAGGCGGAAGATTTGCACGTGCGAATCTTCTGTCTCCGTTGCGCCCTCTGTGTGCACGCGCCGGCTGCCCGACACTACCCCTGCACCTCACCACGCAGTTCGAATATGCTGCTAGACCGTCCCGCACGTCCGTATCCGCCTTCGTCGTTCGCTGCTCTTGCTACGCTTCGGCCCTCGGGTGCGCCCCAAGTTGGTATGTCTTTAGGCCCCGCCGCTACCAACAACAACACTAATACATGTTCCGTAGCGGCAGCTGCATCCTGATCACTGCTGCTGCCCGTCCCGTCCCTCTGTCCACATCACGCATCTATTCACCTGCGAGGAATTCCTCGCAGCGAATTGTGCACGGCGGTTCGTGTGTGGGGGATCCTCTGTGACGGTTCGCTTGCAGCAATTCGGCCGCGATGCCTTCTCTCCGGAGAAGGTTCTGTGGGGATATCGCGCAAGTATTTCTACGCGACGTTTCGGCCACACAGGGTGACTCGCGACCAAATGGGCACAACACTTAATCTGCGAGGCCCTTGTCGCAGTGGCACTCGGGATAAATCCCTGTAGGACAATTCCTGTAGGCCCTGCCACTACCAACAACAACACTAATACATGTTCCATAGCAGCGGCTGCATCCCAATCACCACTGCTGCCCGTCCCGTCCCTCCGTCCGCATCAGCGCGCACCTATTCGCCTGCGAGGAATTCCTCGCAGTGAATTGCGCGTGGCGGTTCGTATGTGGGGGATCCTCTGCGACGGTTCGCTTGCGGCAATTCGGCCGCGATGCCTTCTCTCCGGAGAAGGTTCTGTGGGTATATTGCCGCGAGTACTTCTACACAATGTTTCGGCCACACAGGGTGACTCGCGACCAAATGGGCACAACACTTAATCTACGAGGCCCTTGTCGCAATGGCGCTCGGGATGAATCCCTGCAGGACAATTCCTGTGGCGACTGCGCTGCTCGAATAGTCTGCAGGGATATCTTCTGCACTCGAGGTCTTTTTTTGTGCAGCTACTCGGACCCAATGTATACCTCATATACCTACCTGCTTAGTTAGGATAATTTAGTGAAGCTTTTCATAAGTATGCCGCGTTTGAAGCCGTGCTGCACTAAGAACACCGCCTGGTATTTTGGGACTTGATCGTCTATACATACGCGGTGCTTAGCCGCCAAGCAGTCTCTTACCTCCGTCGCTGCATGCATGGCATTCGTAGGGGAGGAATATGTACACATTAATTGCTAGGCAGCATTAGCTGCGAAGGATTGGCAGAAGCGCATGAGGTGGGGGGAATACCCCAAAGGGAATCTCCCGCAGGGATGCTCCGGCGGAGTCCGCCGGACTCCGGCCTCCGCCATCATTCCCATAGTTTCAACCTTATGCCATTGTCTACAGCACTTACAGCTTTTTCAACAACCTCTTCTACAACTCTTTACAGCTCTGTTTACAGCCCATTACAGTGTTTTGTTACCTTTATATACTGTGGATGTCCGATGTATTCAGTAGCTTGAATCCCATCGCTTGTCTCGAACATCCGCGTGACTGTCATATTCCAACATCGAGGCCTTTACTTGGCCTTTACATTGATGCGTGCCACAATAGAGCAGCACCACAGCCTACCACCACATCATAATTTATGCCTTTGAACCATTCCCACGGTTGAAGTCAAATATATTTACGTATAACCAACATTTTAGACACTCGGTTGATCCACCAATTGACTGCCGCTCGCCAACAAGGAGGATAAAGGCCAAGGCGGGCGCAGGCGCGTCTTCGTCTCGTGTCCATACGATCTATCAGCGCGGGAACATCTCGAGCGCTAAATTCATTCACACCGTTTTTAATTTTTAGTTTTTACAAGCATCAATTCGAGTGTTGCCTAGAATAAATAGTGGAGCGGGCAGACCGGAGGCCAGGGTAGATTTTGGCGGGAGAAGTACTGACGGTTGACCCCGACATGGTTGGCAAGCTGTGGTTGGCAAATGGTTGGCAGATGAGAACCCTCTAATTTTAACAAGGAACTTGAAGGAGGTATGGTGATCCCACGGGCCCAGGTTGCTGTACTATGCTTCGGATAGACAATCTCACGGCACAGGGTACTGTACGGTTCTGGTTTTGGAAGCTGTATGTAGACGTCGATCATGAAATCATGATGGACCGTAATCGGATTTAATCGGATATTTACATCCGGTTCGAGCCGAATAGAAGGATTTTCGTCGCTCTTTCCCAACAGCCATGATGCTCTGAACAAAGCCTGCGCTCGTCGCTGGGATTTCACTGCTCTCGCCTCATACGGACATTACCAAGCAATCATACCGAACGGCGAAGGTTATGCTCTGTCACGCTTCAGGTATATACCAATTTCCGCACCCACCCTTTCACTGCTTAGTATTTCAGTTTTCATAAAACAATGTTCCGACCTATTTGCGGATCGTCCGGCGTGCCCAGTTCCATCAGAAAATCCGAGCTCGAACCTAATTTACCCCAGGTCACACGTTCTCCCAAGATATAGCAGATACAGATATCAGTTCCTGTTCACAGAAATACCTTGGTTCAAGCAGGTCCGAGCCCAACCATCAGTCTTCTGTCATTATCTTAGACCAATAGCAGGTGGTCCTGAATCCTGATGAACTGAACTTCTCGCGCATCTCCACAGCTTCTCGCTCCCGTACCGATATAGGCCGCCCCGTAATATCATTCCGGAGACCTACATCCATTTCTAGTCAGTTCATTAATCTCGATTCGAGACAAACTCGTTCACCCACGCAATTCAATTCAGTGCCGATCATAAATGTAGGGTGCAGTTGTTGTCGCTGTTTTCTCCCCACCCCACAAAATAACAACCAGCAGTTATCTTTGATTTCAGAACATAAAGCAGGTATTATCAGCCTGAGCATTCGACAACCATGGAAGATTTCCCCATCACCGAGGCACAGCTCGTCGGCTCGTTCGTTGAAAGTGTTTTCTGGGGATTCTACCTCATTACTCTCGTTCTATGTCTGCGTACCTTGTTGTTTAAGCGGCCAACCAAGTACATTTGGGCAATGCTGGCCGTGACACTTTGGATGGGCACCTTTGCCACCGTGGATGTCGCCACCGGCCTCTTGCATAACATCCAGGCCTTTGTTCTTTATCAAGGCCAGGGAGGGGCCGCACAAGAATTTTCCAAAATCTCTGACTGGGTGAATATCATCAGGGTATGTTGAAATTGCTTGCCGCCTGCTCGCGCGTAATGACCGGTTCTAGACAGTGGATACCCACATGCAAACACTTCTGGGCGACGGAATCCTGGTAGGTGCCTATGCATTATAACCACACATCATCTGATGAATGACCAGATTTACCGATGTTGGGTGGTTTATGCGAAGTCGTGGCCCGTCGTTGCATTTTCGATCCTTCTCTGGTGCGGTGCAGCTGCCTGCACTGGAATGGTCCTCCACATCGAGAACACTCTGCGCTCGAACGCGTTAATTACATCCGGCTCCCTCCAACCTCTTGTCACATCTTTCTGGGTGTTGACAATCACACTGAATCTTCTTACCACCAGTCCGCCGATTTTCATTTTTCATGCTGGGACTATACTAAGCCAAACGGTCAGGTTTGTTGGTTTTCAAAATTTGGAAAGTGGATCGACGGAGCGCTCACTTCATGCACCAGTCCGCCTCGGCCCAGTATCAGCCATCCAGATTGCGAAAGGTCATGCGCATCATAATCGAGTCAGGACTCATGTATACTGTCGCGGCCTTCATAACTGTAATGGCCTACATAACCAACAGCAATTCCACCTACCCGACCAGTGATGTGGTAAGTAAAGATATTGTTCGATCTACCTCTCAGTGCCTCACCGGATCTACAGGAAGTCCAGATGGTCGGAATCGCTTTCAATCTCATCATCATACGCGCGAATCGACCTTTGGAGAATGAATATGGGGCTACTGCAGTGCCACTCCAAATGCTCCGCCCTCCCCTTGCATCGGATTTCGCCACCGGTGTTCAGGTTACTGTCGAACGTGAGTTCGATGGCAGGGAAGGAAAGGACAACCGCAGTTTAAATGATATGAGTCCCATTGTATAAATGTTTTGTAGCAATGGCACAATTCATTCATTCATATCTACAATGCAAGGCTTGCCCTCATCAAAAATACACCGTTTGTGTGAATCCAGGTGGAGGAACGGCGCTCCAGGCCCGGTGGCTGAGAAATTGCATCCACCTTGCAGTACCTGGGTTTGCGGACCTGCAATTCCGAGGAGCACTGAAAGGTTTGAAAGAAGGGATTCTAATCGGCGCCCATTATTCAGCCCTCTTACCTTTCCCTATTTTTTTCCCGCCTTGGATTATGTAGATATATGATTTCGGATAAACGATGGAATGGGGCGCGCTCCATTGTGGCTAGTAGTGTGTGTTTATGAACGATTGGTATTGGGCGGTTGTCTAAGCAACCAGGTTACACAAGTCGTCGGGCGGAATTAGACGAGGGAAAGAGGCGGGGCAACTGATAATTGGACAGAACAGCTGCGAAAAAGGATCGACACTGGCATGATTCGAACATGCGCCCTACAAGAGGAACAGATAAAGTGTAATTCGAATCTGTCGCGTTAACCACTCCGCCACAGTGCCTGTGAAAAAGGGGACTCCAGTACTCATCAGGGCCATCTGAATGATCTACCAATCCCAGCTTCCATGTGCATACGCGAAATTTTACGCGAGCCTTCCGTCTGAGGCTCCGACACCTTGGTGAGCCCACCTTGCCGTCTTAGCACTTAATTTTCTCAAGACTTACTAGTTTATGGCTGACCCTGCTCCTCCGAGCCTCTCGTTTGGGTCCCCTGGGCTCACCAATGTCGAAAATCAAGTCAAGGGCCTCATCGAGGCGACGGAGACCAATATCGAGCGTCTGACCGCTCAGATACGCGAGCTTACCCTCATGCGCGAGAAGGAGCGCAGTGTCCTTGCCACGCTGCGACTGATGATCGTCCCCATCGGCAAGCTGCCGACGGAATTGCTGGTGGACATTTTCAAGCGCGTGGTGCATGCACCCGAGGCCCACTTCGGCGACCCTCCGTTCGAGATGACACTGAGGGGCCTTTCCAGCCATACAGGACGTGTTTCTTTGCGGAGAGTTTTGCGCCTGGCCCAGGTGTCTCCGTATTGGCGCCAAATCACCCACACCTCGCCATACCTGTGGACTGGCTCGGTCCATGTCGACTTGGACAAGAAGAGAACCTCGGACGACACGTATCTCAGTGGTCTGCAGGACTTGCTCGCTCGCTCTTCCCCATTGCCCATATCCGTTTCCCTCACAGGGACTTCCATTAAATCCATTAAATCCGTTTCCGCGTCTTCCAGCGCTCGCGCTCGTATCATAGTCAACACAGCCCAGCGATGGCGGAGCCTGTCTCTTGATATGGTTCCCTTCACACATTTCAACGACCTTGTCCCAGGAACGTTTAAAGCTCTCAAATGGCTTAATATTCGAACACGTTGGCACCAGACCGAGCCTGTCATTGTGTTCCATTCCTCCCCGCGACTCCGAAGCCTCACTCTAGACCTTAACCACAATGCGCCGTCGAACCTTGCTTTGTTCCAAATGCCATGGTCGCAACTCACGGATCTCCACGTCACTGATCACTCGGTCGGCGGCTGTCGTGCGATTTTGCTTCAATGCAGTAATCTCGTATCAGCGAAATTCGATACATCCCACGATTGGGATTTTCCCCCGGAAGCGGCGCAGTCCCCGGTTGTCGTACTCCCTTCCCTCAAAACACTCGTCATCGAATTTTCAGGAGCAACTAGCGAACCAATCGGCGGCGTTGCGGCTTTTTTCATGCCCCTTGCCCTTCCTTCCCTCAAAACTCTTGACTTGCAATTTAATCCCGATGGAGATCTCACTTGGCCGACAGAAGTATTCTCGCAGTTCCAGAATCGATCCCAAAACATTAAACGGATCGACTTGATGTTCAGTGTCATAGACGTGGCGGGACTAGTCGCTCTCCTCCGACACAGCCCCGCTCTCACGACGCTTGACATTCAAAACTGCTGGAACTGCGTCGAGGATGCTGTCTTTGAAGCGCTTAGGTACGATGACGGCGCCACTTTACCGTTGGCGCCGAAGCTGCAGAATCTACATTTCACAAACGTTGGGTTGGGTTTCGAGGAGGATATATTGGAGGCCGCCATTCGTTCCCGTTGGTGGACAGACGAGCAGGGGCTTAACGATCCTCCCCCGCGTGTTGCACGTCTGAAATCGTTTTCGATAGCTTGCGCGGACGACGGCCGCCAGCTCAGCGAAGATTTGATGAATGACCTGATAGAGCAGGGTCTTGAACTTCACTGCTATTAATGTCTGTAATCCCGCCCGATATTTAATGTGTCTACCCACCCTCTCGGACGAACCACACCCACTGAAATGAAAGAAACCCACAGCGCTTACTGCGGCATGTGCCGTCGTCTACGTATGTTCCGTTGCGATTCCTCTCCGTCGTTTGGCCCAAAAACTTCCTTGGAAGTATCGTCCGATCTTACAGCCTGAGACCGGTCGGTACATGAATATAATGGACGAACATTGGTTCCCTCATTGCTCAGCCCTGGGTGCAACTTATATAATTTATAGGGTCATCCCTTATCCTAAACATATACGCTACTCGAACTGTTTTCCATCGGGTACTTGGTGTAGAGGAACATACGCGAATTTATATGTAGAAGCGACCACCGTGTAAGCACCGTGCACGAGCAGTGAGAAGTATAGCATGCACCACGAGTCAGCGGTGTCCTTCTCTTTTTGTTTATTGTACTCAATTTTGTTTTCGCCCCTCCCGCAGGCTCATGTCCTGATAATCGGCGGAACGCCCGCAGGGATATGGGATCCGCGAATATATCATCTCAGGCTAGTACCCCTACTTAGGCGAGCACCAGAGCTCCACATACACAACTTCCTCAATCGTCAGTGAGATGCATATCGCTACATGTGTGTGTATTAGATACATCCTAAGTAGGTCCAAGTCGTCGTAATCTAAGGCAAGATTATTTTCAAAACTTAGATACGGGCAGATCGCCCCACTGGACCATCGGCCCGGGATCCACCGACACCGTGAGGCCCTTCCTGAATGCTTCCACGTCTGTAATGTACGTTACACCAGGGCGAGGGGCGTCTTCGCCCTCCCCGGGTATCGGATGCTTCGCGACCAAACCCGGGATCGCGTCGAGGAGATCTTGCCCGCCCTCCTTGCCGCCGAGGACGCCGCTCCAGTATTTTTTAAAGTCGGGCAAGGGCGGCTGCTCATCGCCGCTGGGCGCGTCGTTCCACGCGGTTTCCGTGACGCCGTCGACGCCTTTCTCGCGTACGAGCGCCGCAAATGCCTCGGCGGCGGTCGAGCTCACACGAGGCTGGCGCGATTTCTGCGACCGCATATGGACAGAAAGCTTGGCGCGCGTTTTGGAGGCAGGATGCAGATCGGAGAGGAACATGCTGAGCACGTCCTCCTTGGTCACGCCTTCGAGGAACTCGGCGTCCTTCTCATCTAGAGGAAGCGATCAGATTTAGATACTGGGAGGCAAAAAGCGCGGGGAACGCACTCCGCAGGAAATCCCACTGCCCATTCGTAACGTGGACCGCGAATCTTGACGCCTCCTCCGTCAGATTCTTCTCCGCCTCCGTCCACCGCTTCTTCAAGCCCCCCTTGTGCTCCGCAAAGTCCTCTGCGCTCATTTCCTCTATGGTTGTCTTCATGCCCTCTAAAAAGGCCTCGACGCGATCCTCCAGATAACCCGGTGTCTTCTCGCTCTGCACAACGATCCGAAGCCCCTTCTCACTCTGCCCCGCCAGCAGCCACCCGGAACACGAGACGATGTATCCCAGTTGCTCCTTAGTGCGCAGGATGTTGAACGCTGGTTCCTGAAGGATCTGCGTGAGCAGCGACGAGGTGACCCGGAGATGCTGGTTAACGATCGATCCAAAATGGACGTAGTAGGTCAGCGCAGAATTAGCCTGATTAGGATTAGGTATTATGGATGTCCATGTGTGATTCGAGGCTGAATCTATATCAGAACAACGACTGGTCGAGCAGGTACGAAGCGCACCTCTCGGGAGTACCAATGCGTGATCGTTGAGTTGACTGAGTGGCACCTTGGACGCGCCTAGACCCTCTTCGGCCATCTCTGCGATTTTGACAGCCTCCTAAACACGAAAAATTGAGAAGTGTTTACGCCAGAAACCATGGCTCTCACGTCTTTGTACAGGTTGCCGCACACGAGCATGCGCATGTGCACCTCGGAAAGTATCAGCTTAACGTGCCTTTGGAGCTCCTCCGCCGTAACAGCTTGGCGAGGAATTAGGATGAAAGTCGATACCAAGGACCCGCAACAACGCACAAGGCAGCTCCTCCAGAAGTTTTTCAATTGTCCACTGTTGCTGTGCCATGATATAACGGCCGTAGTAATCCGACAGAGCATACGACTGTCCCAGGAAGAAATTCTCCAAATCTCTTTTAGCCTAGTAGGACGGACGAGTTAGCATTGCGAAGGCGAAGAGTTTGGAAGAAATACCTGTTCCTTCATGACGGCTAGCCGGTCAGGATTGATGACAATTCCCTTGATCTTCTCCAAAACATGCTTCACAAGAACGGACATCTTGTCATTGAACCCGTTCATGGCCACATATAACCCGTTCGAATGAGGAACAAAGTTATACTCGAGCATGCCGAGCGATGCATCGTACGCAAACTCCGTCAGCGCGTCGTTCACGACGTCAGAGTACATTCTTTACAACTACCACGTCAGGAAAGTATGAATCCCACAGAAAACGAACTTGCCTGGTCAGAATCGCTGCACGGGGCGACTCGTTACCGAAAGGACTAGGAAATATTGAGCACAGGAATATAGCATGGTGGTTAACTGGCACCTCCGGAGATCGATTATGGCATGGGCCTTGGGAACCCAGAACTTATCGTCCTTCTTATGCCACAGGGTAGACATCGGTGTCTCCCGGATGAGATGTGGGCGCTTCAACGGCTACATGGGACGTCAAAATCGACTTGGGCCCAATTCAGCACATCACTCACTTCAGCCACGTCCCGCTTATCGACCTCCACATTGGTAGGGATAAACTCGTTCGGACCGGGCAAATACAGCTCCTTGATGTCGTTGGGTCCTTGTGCCTGCAATACAGTCAGAAACGACCAGCAGTACTTGATGACGGGGGCGCACCTGCCGGACGAACGCGTCGTCGAATTCCTCGACGTAATACTCCGTTCCGTACCACGGCTCCTTCTTCCAAACAGCGTTCGGCGCGAGCTTCGCGTGCTCCGCGCCTTTCGCCATCAGCGTAACACGCGCATTCTCTACACGGAATGCGTCGAGGTACGCGCGCACCTTGGCCTCGCCGCCGCCGCCGGGCTGCTCGTCGCCGTCCCAGTCCCACGTCAGCGCCTGCGCGGAGAGCACGAGCTCCAGCGGAACGGGCCGCGCCAAATGCTCCGCGACCCACGTCGCGTACGAGTCTGGGCGGCCCTTCTCTTTGAACCGGAACTTTGTCGCCGAGAGCGTCACCAGCTCGCGTTGGTGGAATGCCTCAAACTCGGACTCGCGGAGCAGGGTAAGGAACTTGAATATCGCGAGCGAGA